TGCCTAAAATATGAAATAAGACTTCATAGAGACTACTAACTTTTCTAGTTAAGACCTACAGGCTTTGCAAAGGAGATCCTAGCATTGGATTTGTTCTCCATCTGAGTACATATCCTCCTTTTTTTTCCTCAAGTCTTTTTACAAAGAGCCTGCATTCAAGCCTCATACCACAGACTAATATGGTAAAAAGTGAATTCTTTTGAAGTTTGAAAATAACTGGTAATAATTGTAGACAACTAAGTTACAGATTTGAAATGGTTCTACAAATAAATCATAGATAATTTAAATGGCATTTATGTGATTATATCTATAACAGATGGAGTATTTTAGAGGGAAAAGGGATTCCTTTGGACATATGTGATAAGCTGTAGCTCTACAGGGTGAATCATGTGGTTGAGTCCTCCTGCAGTCGCTCAGTATCAGGGGGCTCTGTGACCAGATGAAGATTCACTTGCAAATGTTGTGCTTCAGAATTCAGATGCTGTACAGTCTTATATGTGATTATGTCACTAGCTTTTTAAGTTAGGAAGACAGACCATTGTTTAGACTTAAAAATGTTTTTGATAAAAATAATTACTTTCTTCCTACTGAAAGACAGCAGATGGCATTGTAATTTTTTTTTAATTAAGAAAAGGAAGAACCAAGTAGGAAAATGCAAGAAGCAATATTAAAGCATAGAAGAAAGTTTTAAAACAAATGGTAAGGGAAAAAAAATTGGCTAGGCTCTGAAAATTCTCACTGGTAGAGCTTTCCATTTTCAGGAGAGAATTTCAGTGTCTTTTACTTCTGTTGGAAAGCCCCAATCTTCAGTTGTCTTTACGTGGTGTTCTGGAGTGCTGAGATCGTATCAATTGATTTAGCAACCTAAACCTCAGCCCTTTGCTAGGAGGAAAGCTTATGGTATTTATTAGTATAAATGCTGTTATAAAAAATCATATTCAGATGAAGGGAAGGACACAGAGAGGTTAGCAAAAAAAAAAAAAATTGCAAAGCTTTTACAGCTGACATCAGAGAGATAAAAACTTGAGCATTTAAAAATCCATGCTGTTATCTTTACTTAGTTTTCAAAACAGCATTTCTCCATTCATGCTGTGTAATGGATATTTCAGTATATAAAACACAACTGAATGAACCAAATACTTGCATTCTGCTGCTCTCAAAATCTGCATAATAGACCTTTATTGGTAGTGGTGGCGTTCTGTTTTGTTTTTAAACAGTTTGCTTAACAATATGCTCTCCACAGCCTCTTTTCACCACAAATAAAGGAAGCTATTCTACATCAAATTTAGGTCAAGAGTTTCAATTTCAAGAGAAAATGATGCTTGTCTCCTTTGGGAGTGGTGGAATGTGAGATTTTACATTTTTGACTGATTGAGTTTAAAGCTTTTCAGAATTCTCTCCAACCACCATTAAGTAAATTAATAAATAAGACTAGGACAATCATTATCAGGTTGAATCTTCCCTACAAAATAAGCATTTTTTTAAATGGAGCTTCACTTATTTTCCACAAAACTGTAGTAAGTTTTTGCCTGTTGCAGAGGAAGTAAAAACCTAAGCAAAAGCTAAAATTTCAGAAGTTCCTACACCACACCTCACAGGTGTTTTGCAAAACTTGTATTTACCTCACTTTATACTTAATCATTCTTAATAACATCACTGATGAAGAATATATTTGTCTTGAAAATTAATCAAATTTACCATGACACAATGAACCTGCATACTGATTATGCAGATGTAAAAAATTAACACTCCAATTGAAAAGACTCCAGTTTGGGAGTATCCTTCAAATGCAAAAGTAGCTGCTGCTTTTTTTTTTTTTTTTTTTAAACTGAGGAGGACATTTAAAATCTCTTTGTTTAAAAAGAGCTGCTAGGAATATAACATAGCAGGGTACAAACCTGATTTTATTCATTACTGATTGATCAGGGGAATAGTCATGGGTGACAGAGATTTTATTGAGAATTAAAATCATTCTTAGTTTTGATCTTCAACACAATGGTTATTTTAAAGTACTCTTACAGATGTGCTGTCTTTTCTTAATAAAAAGGAGATAGTAGCAGAGGTTGAGGTGTCAGTAAAGTAGTAGTGGAAAAAAGCTAGTAATTCATAAAGAGGGGAGTTACCAGGCTATGAATTAAGAAGCATCTCAGAAGGGAAGTGGCTCAGTTGCTAGCAGAAAGTCAACACAGTCTCTTATATTAACAGCTGCACTGGAAAGCTGAAGTAACAAATATTATCTCTGTATTTAAAAGGTATGTGGATACAGAGATCTACAGACCAATAAGCTTTACAGTTATACTCAGTAACTGGTTGGATTCACAAACGCTGAATAATAAAATATTGAAGAATATAATTTTGTAGGCTCTAATGAGCATAATTTATGGACAGGAACTTGTCCTTCAGTATCTATTACATTTCTTTGACATTACCAGGTAAACCAGTAGGTATTTCAGACTGGCTAATGCAAACTTAGACTTTCAGAAGGTTTTTGACAAGATTGCCAGTAAAAAGCCGCTAACGATGCTTAGTAGTTGGAAGATGATGGTCAAATATGGTCAGGATCTAAATCTAGGAAACAGAAAATAAAAAGTGAGAATATATCATCATTTTTTATTTTGCCTGCAGGCTAACAGTAGATGACAAGAGGTTTCGTAGTCGGTATTGTGTTAACTAGTAATGGTCTGGAAAGGAGAAAGAGCAGTATTTGTAGCAGATATGGGTTAATTAGATAACTTAAGACCAGGAAGAACTGTGAGAAATTAACATAGGTGTGGAACAGGATGGTAATTGAGAGCAATGTTGATAAATGCACTTTGAGAAGGAAAATAAATTGCTCATGCATTTTGCAAAGTTCTAAATAAACTGCATCAGCTTCTGGAAAGGGATCTCGGCATTCCCAGGAAGCTCACTGAAGATAGGGGGAAACAGCAAAAAGCAAAAAAAAAAACCCCAAAAACAAAAAAAAAACCCAGCAACAAAAAGCGGACGATTTATATCTGAGAGCATAGGAAATGGTAATGACAGTAATATGGAAATAATATAATGCTATTAATTGCTCTCTATAGTTCCACTTAATAAAGAACTTGAAAAAGTTTTCTGAGAGATTAGCCTGTAATCAGGAAAAAAGAAGATGTATTTATTTCTCTCTATGGTTACCTTTTTTCTCTTCAGCTTTCTTTAACATACCTGGTTCTGAGTGTTGTCAGAAATAGGGTGCTAAATCAGATGGACCCTAGATGTGTCCAAGAATGGCATCGTCTTTGTTGCTAACTACATCTATACCATGAAATAACTTCAATATTCAGTGATATGTATAATTGCAAATTGTGAAAGTCTTACGTGTTTCCTTCAGAAGTGATACTTTGCAATCTTCATAACACATTTTGCACATTTTTAGCCTTTTCCTCTGTTTTTTTTGTAATATTACTTGTTGCATATCCACTAGTATTATGTATCTTCACACCTATTAGGTGATAAATTTGACTCCTATTAGTAAAATCTATATTTCTGGGGAAGAGAAATATGAAACTTGTGCATTTTCCTGTTTATTTGGAGTGTAAAATGCCTTGAGTATCAGTATTTAATTTCATGAAAGCTGTCGGGAAGCGCCATCTGCACAGGAAGAAAGACATTACCAGAGAGGCTTGGATCCATACCTATGCAGTATATTTAATATCATGGAAACTTATCACTATCACTGGTTTCCTTTTTCTTTTTTTTTTTTCCAGTCTAAAAGTACCATAAAATACTTTGCAGCCAATTGCTGCATATGTGTGAGAAAAGGCTTGCAAAGTTGGCCTTTGTACGAACTGATACTGGTTGCTTTTGGTGTTTAGGGACGGGCTCCAGTGTCTATTAACTTTGACCCACTTCTGCCAGACACTTAGAAGGTTTTGGCATAAGGATGTGCTATAGAAGTAAAGCTGAATGTTATTGACGTTGTTCCTGATAACACTTAGGTAACTAGGAACTGATGGGCTACAGAACGCTACTAGATGGAGTGCCTCTTATGAAGGTGTCTATTAACTTTGTTTCCGTTAATCGCTCCTGATTTTTATTCAGTAGTGTATATATGATGAAGTAGATCTTTCCTTTATAATAGTGGCAGACCTCTGTGTTATTTATCTTCATGAAATTTTAGGTAAGAATGCCAAAGGAGTTCACCTTTGCTTCAGAATGCCAGAAGGCCGCAGAAAATGCTACCTTTCAGTAGTTGATAATGCTTTAGGAGTGTGTTTTTGTCATGTATGTAACTCTACTGTAAAGCAGATATGGAAAAAAACCATCTGTGAAGAGAGGGGAAATAGAGTAGAGCAGAGCTACCAATTCTGGAATGGAATGCTTACAGAGAAATAAGCTAAGCTTTTTGAATGCAGTAAAAGAACATGGAGCTTTGGATTTAACAGCATAGGCACAATGTGTATGTGCTCAACCGGATGTCCTTAGGATGGATTACAATCATACAACAAATAAATATGTAGTCAGTGTTATTATCTGACCAAAAATGTGGCTGTTAATCCTGACATATGTTTTGGATGTAATGGAGGAAAACACTGCAGTGCTTTAAATCAGCTTTTAGTGAACAGTGTTGTATGTTAGACTCATACCCATATTATATGTATCCTTTTGTTGTTAAATAAGTACATAAAAGAAAACAAATGTGAAGCATGTTAGTATAATTAAGGACTGCAGGAAACCCATTGATCCCCATTTGAAACTGCTGATAATTTAGCTTTACATCATTAGGCTGTATTGAAGCTGGATTGCTTCAGACAGTCGGATAGAAATATAAGTCAGCTCAACTATGTTCTCTCCTCTATGGCTTTGGTTTTCGCATGTCCAAAGAACACGTGTACTACATTTTTGTTATGTTATTGACTGCCTGGGAAGAAATCAGTGGAGAGAGTATGAAAGCAGTGAGAGAGGGAGGAGACATACTGTTCATTCTTCGGAATCTGAAGCACAGAGTTTAAACCACATACTTTTTATTTTTTTCTTAGGTTTTCTGAAAAAACGACAATCAAATGGTTGCAGCTCTTTGAAGGTAGTGGGGTTCCATATGGTCCAATCAACAATATGCAGCAAGTATTCTCAGATCCTCAGGTTTGTTCTCACCAAGTCTTTTCTATACGTTATTACATGTTTCATGAATACTGAATAATGGCTGCTTTTCCCTCCACACAGACCTGGTTTCAGTGACTTTAAAATAGGATAGAAGAGGTATATGGCAGGTTGAATTTAAGGCCAATAGTATAGTATAATAAGAAGTGATACTACAGATCCTCAAATGAATTATGTGTTTGGAAACACGTGCCTTGCCACAATGTATTAAACTATAGATATCCAATGTCCTGTATGAAATCTGTCCTTCAGCAGTGGCTAGGAAAACAAGGAAAGAAAGTATCACATACTGCTAATCAAATTCTGTCAGATAAATATTCAAAAAAGTATCCTTCTTGTTCTCCACAAAGAATCAATTTTTTCTGTAGAATATGGATAACTAGAATCTATATTGTTTGGAGAGGAAAAAAAAAAGCCAAGCTTTGAACGGAAATATGAAAATGAAGCAAAAAAAAGTCTGATGAAGAAAGATTTTCACCTTTTCTTGGCCTAGTGGTTTCCCAGAGTGAGAGTGATTCAGCTTTTATAAATATTTCACTGAATTGCATCTATATTTAAACAGTATTTTTACTTTCTAGCACCTGTAGAGTTGTAACATCTGCATGTTCAGTGATCCCTCCTCTTTTCCTCACCATCTGGCTTATGCTGAGTTGATGGTCCTAACACAAATTCAATTATACTGTCTTAAATAGTATAGCAGTATTTTAGAATTATTCTACTGTGTGGTGAATCTTCTTCAAAATAATTCCTAATAATGGAAGTAACCTTTTCAACAAAGACAGTACATTTTTTCAGTGCAAACCTGTATCTGAGATTCTACTTGTAAATATGTCCACTGAAGAAATATTCCTAGTTCATTTCAGTAACTAGAAAAATGAGATTGGCTGTTGAAAAAAATGCCAGTCTTGTATGTGCCCATATCTACTATCTAGAAGCGTTTATCAGGAGTGTGAATATGGTAATAGCTTTTTGGAAAGAACAGCAAATAAATCTCTATGATAGAGGGATATGTTTATTATACTTTAAGGGACATTTATACAGCTACCGCAGTGACAGAGTGAAAGTTCTCTCCTTTCAGATTAATTACTACCTTGAAATGAGGTAGTACCATGCTGTAGAGGGTGCTTGGGCCAACTTTCTCACTTCATAACTTTTATAAGGATTAAGCTTCGGTTTTAAAGAACATACACCAAGAGTCTTGACTTTACTTAGCTCCTGATTGGCTGATTGTACTTGGGGCAATATTGAAAAAATATCCTGTGCTTTTCTTTTGATGCTCCATCATATTTTAAAAAATCAGTTCCACTGTGAAAGAGAGTACCTTTTAAAAGGTAATATGTTGCGAATGACAGTTATATGCCAAGCTGAAAAGTGTTAGCTTTTTCACCTTGTTCTTGTTAGAGTTCATCCTGAATTTTAAATAATGGGACAGACTTAGCCTATCTATGAAATGTGCCACAGTGCTTTGGATTCAGATACCACCATGTAGCAGGTTTTTCAAAATATTTTCTTATAAAGGAGCATAATGATCTTTTATTCTTCTCGTGAAAATACTTGTCTTTTCTGCACCCTCCTCTGAAATAAGTGGCAATCAGTCACTACATTGTTACTACTATGGGAATTAAATGTCAGCATTTGTGGTGATATTGAGTATTATGAATTAGTTTCCTTTTTGTTGCTCCCTGCTTTCTTAAGCATTTTCTCACAGTTATCCTTCTACTGAAGGGGCTAAAAAATGGAGACTTTTTTTTTTTTTTCCTCTCCTTTCTTGAAAAATGGGAACGTGTTAGCCTTTTAAGGGATAGCTCTTAAGATATTTGCATCACCAATGTATATTTAGGAGAAATGTCACTTAACTTGTATTAAATAACCTTAGTTACTAATACTGTAAAGCAACAAGCCCAAAGAGTGTGATTTAAAATGAGAGAGTTTATTATAACCCAATAATCTGCTTTCCAAAGTCATTTGCCTTCAGTCATTGCAAAGCCTCCAGAACAATACCAAACCTGGTGTACTTCAGTATAGACAAACTTATAATCTACCTCTAATAGCATGTTTAGATTTTGTAACCTAAAATATTAGATATTTTCCATTTTGGGTGTTATGAGTAGTAGTAACCCCCAAAATATATATTCAGGAGAACTGAATCTTAAGACAATTCCATTGGCTTTCATGGCCATTGTCTTCCTAATGATTTACAGGTTCTGGTAGCTATAATGCAGCCATCATTCATTTTTTAGATATATATATATATGTGCAGGCTCACGCCACTGGTGACCAAGATGCACTGCATGTATGTCAACAAGCATCAAAACATGCCAGCACAGCTGTTAGTAATGCCGCAAAAGGTTTTCTGGTGCAGTGGGCTTTTACCGGCCAAAGACCAAAATCCTGGGAGGGGATTGGAATAATGCAGGGGAGGAATGGAAGCAAGTCTGAGGAGACAGAAAAGACAAGCTAAAAGAGAGGACTGAAATTGTCTACTGGAGTTTAATCAGCTGCAGGTGGGTTGTATTTTTCAAATTTTATTTTATTTTAACTAAATGGACATTGGAACTCTGAAGGCCAAGAGTGGTTTGTATAGCTTCTTTTATACACTGAGATAAAACAACACATTTTTTGATCCCAGGACACTTTGTTAATATCATTAACAGCCTCAATCATACTCCAAGGGAGCTGCCAAAAAACATGAAATTTTTTACTAAGTTGGAGTGCCGGGTGATACTGTTTTTTCCATGAATGGAGTGAAATGTCCACTTTTCCCAACTGATTATAATCTTTTATTCATTCGTGAAGTTAAAATGAATACCACAGCCATTTGTACTGCTAAGTCAATCAATCTGTGCGTACAAGTATATGCCTGTGTGCTTGTGCATGTATGGTTAAAGGGGCCGAGAGAAACAGGGGCAGATACAGTAGTCAAGGGGGCAATTTTCTTAAAAGCAAGAGGGAGGAAAGAATGTTTGTGAAAGCTCTTACAAACTCTTAATAGTACAGTATAGACTGTTTTCATGAAGCTTTTTACAGTCAAACTTTTTCAAGCTCTTTTTAAAAAATATGTTCTTTTAACCAGGCCAAGATTGTACAAAACATTAAAGGAATTCTTAAAAAGTTTTAAAAACTTACTAGTGACCTCAGTATGGTCCTATTTAACATACCCTAGGGAACATGTGTATGAAATACAATGTGGTTTGAGGTTTTCCAAACAAAACAAACTTAAAAGAGAATACCATTTTAAATAGAAACTATTCAAATTCTCCCAAAAGATAAAGCAAAACAAAAACAGGTACGTGCTGTACTGCAGCTAGCTATGAAAGAACAAAGATCTTTGCTGGTTAAGCCAGGGGAACATAATGGTGGTGGTGGTGGTGAACGTTGTCTTCCCTTCTTTCCCAATGTAACTTCTTTCACAGTCCTTATACAATGTCATTACATTCATCAAGTAACTGGTACTTAAGAAACAACAAAATAACCCAGAAATATTAAGGGCAGTTAAATAAATTGTTTGTTAGTTAATGTTTTGCCAGATAAAAGCCATGCTCATTGATGAATTTTACTATATGAATGCTACCAGCTGAAAATAAAAATGAAAGCCATGCGGTGGTACTTTTTTTTTCTTTCCCTTTTCTTTTTTTTTAAACAGAGCAGTTACAGTCATACCACACAAGTTGAGTACATCAGGTGTAAGACATCACCCCGATGCATCACTTCTGAGAAATATGGGGAGGGAAATATCGGAGCTGAAATATCACAGCTGGCCCTGATTTCAGCTCCTGCCAAACACCTGCAGACTCTAAAAGGATACCAAAACAAAACTCCACCCTATGGCAGGAGGCCATCCCTTAACAACCCTTCCCTGACTTTGCATCACTATAAAAATTAATTTAACATTTTTTACAGAAATCTTAGTCTTCCTGTCCCAGAAGGCCATTACCGTTCTTTTAGCCATTTGTCTGAATATGCCTCAGAAAAAAAACAGAAAATTGGAGTATTAAAATATCTGATAGCTGGAAATTATCTAATGTTTTCAGTTTATTATTTGTGGAAACTTATAAAGCTGGTAGTTTTTTATTAACCTCCAGATCATCTCTTATTCTGTAAGTCATTTCATTTGAACACATCCTGGCAAAAATTTCCTAGCATCTGGTAAAAGCTTCTACAATCAGTGTCATGAACACAGAAAACAGCAAAAGAAATAAAGTAGGTTTTTTTAGAAAGCATCTGATGCCTCTTTTTTTTTTTTTTTTAAATATGGTGATGCATTTTATGGGCCATGTCTTTAATTGCTTTAGCTATTCTTTGTTGAAATAGACTTTTGTGGCCCACTGAGGGCTGTCCAAGTCGAGTAAAATTATATTCATGTCCATAATACTGTAGGGAGGTTTTTCTTACATATAGAGGTTTCTGCAACTGAAAAGCAGTTGATGAAGGCCTGAGGTAATACAATGTGTCTGGAAGTAATTCCTAGCAGACAAGAGAAAGAAAGGAATTAAATTTTGCATGTGTCTCTTAAGTCAGTATTATAGCTGGTTGGAAACTTTCCGATGGAATGTTTTTCCCTGAAAAATGCCAATTCATTGAAAATGAAGCATCCACACAAAGGTGTCTAAAATAAATTTTTATTTTGAAACAGAATTTGAGCTCTATTCTAGGCTGTTTTGCTAAGTTGAAAATGTGTAATATGTAGTTTGGATTTGGTCTTTCAAGCTAACCTTTTACTTCAATTTATTAATTGTATGTAATGGAAAAATAAAACAACCCATACCCAGCCCTTTAATTTTGTCAAAAGTAGTTCTTTCATGCTAAATTGCAAATGTTTTCAAGCTTCTGGTTTGTGGGAAATTTAGAAGTAGATTCTATTCTGAAGTGGAAAGTGTTCAAGGATGGAACGCAGTTTGAAGAAGTAAAATGGAAAATCCAGTTCTAAGACTGTTTGTAGTATGATTCCCACAAATACACAAATATGCAGGCTTTTATTTAGT